TGGATGCAAAAGTCTACAAAAAACCTTAATCAAGCAATATATAAAAATGAATGAAACAATACACACAAATAATAATAAAAGTAGATTTATAACCAGGGATAAAAAGTTGTTTGACAGTAGAAAATTAGGTTTAACACTAGAAAATAACATTAGAAAATAATCACTAATAAATTAAAGGAGAAAAATCATATGACAATCTCAATATATGCCCCAAAACGGCATTTGATAAGTCAATATGCATTCATTATTATAAAACTTCTTGACATATTAGAAACAGATAGTAATTCTCTTCCAGAAAGCAGGAATGCAATAATAAATAATTGCATTCCAGGCAACTAGCTTTATGCCTGGCACAGAATAGAAGGGGGATTACTAAAAGTTGAATGGATAAATGAATGAGTAATGGTTTAAAAGTGCAATACAGAGGCAAAAGAAAGTTTGCAATTGCCTTCCAACTCCATTGTACATGGAATATGGGACAATGTGTAGCCTCCATTCAAAAGGATAGAAGAGGAAGCAGAGAAATCTCAAGTTTTGTTAAAACCAGAAGGTAAAGAAAACTTGTATTAATAGGCTGAGGGAGAAAGAAACTTTACATACTACATAGAAAGAGCAAGGTTGCAAAGGAGAAGACAGGAGGTTAAAACAGGGTGAAAAGCCAATTTTAATTTGAGAATGAAAGAAAGCAATAGGTTTTAATCAAGGATGACTGATATATAGACTCACGGAAAAAACCAAACTCCCTCCAAACAGAATTCTATTTAAAAGTATAGTATTCTTTATACATGAGAGAGAAAATAAATATTCAGAACTTTCTCCCCTTAAATTTTTTCTTAAATCTTTGATGACTGATACTCTTTAGCAAGCAACAAGTATTGGCAAGTGACAAAAAATAGGCAATAACAAGCAAACATCAAGAAGAAAAAAATCAGTTGAACATGATTAATTTCAGTGGACAGCTTCAGGCAGAATGGAGTAGTTCATAACAGACCAACTCTCCTGCTGAAAACAGCTAGAAAAGACAGAAGCAAATTCAAACAGAAAGGACTAAAGAGGTTAAGATTCCTAAGAAAGAACTGATAGGTGAACTGATAAAGTGCAGCTGACATTTGCTGACTCTGGGCGTTAGCAAGAGGCCTGAATGCTGTCTTGGCCTTTGCAGAGGGCTGCTGCTGGGGAATAGAAAAACCTGTGTAGTTTTAGGGGTCTCAAAGATCTGGAGAAACAAAATTGGAGACCTGAAAAACCTCATATACCTGGCTATTTCCCTTCATTTGGCTCAGCCTCTAATTGGATTAAAGTAATCAGCCCACCACACTCCCAATTTCTCCCTAGCAAATAAAAGACATTCTCTGGAGCCTCCAACTTTTTTACAATGTGTCAAAAATTACTGGGCACACCAAAAGATAAAAACAAATCACCAGAAAGCAAGACCAAAAAGAAACAGAAAGTAAAATGATAGTTACCAGGGGCTGGGAGGAGGAGGGAATGGTGAGTTACTGCTTAATGGGTACAGAGTTTCAGTTTTGCAAGATGAAAAGAGTTCTGGAGGTGGATGGTGGTAACAGTTGCACAACAATGTGAATATATCTAATGCCATTGAACTGTACACTTAAAAATGGTTAAGATGGTAAATTTTATGTTATGTGTATTTTATCACAATTTTTAAAAAAGAAATGAGAAACAGACCAACAAGTGAGCCAGATACTGAAGTAAAAAGAGACTAGTTATAAAATATAAATGATTAATATATTCAAAAAAGATGAAAATGTGATTTTTTTTTTCCTTTGGTGAGGAAGACTGTCCCTGAGCCAACATCCATGCCAATCTTCCTCCACTCTGTACATGGGATGCTGCCACAGCATGGCTTGATGAGCAGTGGGTAGGTCCACATCTGGGATCCGAACCCCGGGCCCTCAAAGCAGAGTGCACAAACCTAAACACTACACCACTGGGCTGGCCCGAAAATGTGATTTTTAAAAGAGCTCGATTTCACCAGAGAATTGGAATCTTAAAAACAGCAATGAAACGGAAATTTTAGAAAGAAAAAAATATGATTAATCTAAAGTTAAGAATTCAGTAGGTAGATTTAAAAGCAAATTAGACACAGCAGAAGGCAGGATTAGGTAACAGGTCAATAAAAGACATCCAAACTAAAACAAAGACAAAAACAAATGGAAGATACATACATATGGGAAACAATGAAAAGTAATTTGAATACATTTCAGTGGTTATGAGTCTGCAGAATCACAAAGAATTAGTCATTTATTATCAATAAGTGGTTTCCAGTTTATACGATAGGATTAAACATTCATTCATTCATCCTAACAACTACTGGACTCCTATTACATACATAGCAATTTGCTGGGCACTAGAGTTACAAAGATATTTAATGAGACACAGTCTCTGCCCTCAAGACACTCTTGGTCACAGGAGACAGATGAGTAATACTTAAACCATTCTTAAGAAGAAGGAGTTCAAGATTGGTGGTTGCCAGAGGGGAGGGTGGTTGGGGGATAGGTAAAATGGGTGAAGGGGTAAAGAGGTACAAACTTCCAGTTATAAAATAAATAAGTCATGTATTATGGGGATGTAATGTACAGGATGGTGACTACTGTCAATAATATTGCAGTGCTGGGGCCGGCCTGGTGGCGCAGCGGTTAAGTTCGCACGTTCCGCTTCTCGGCGGCCCGGGGTTCGCTGGTTCGGATCCCGGGTGCGGACATGGCACTGCTTGGCAGCCATGCTGTGGTAGGTGTCCCATGTATAAACTAGAGGAAGATGGGCACGGATGTTAGCTCAGGGCCAGGCTTCCTCAGCAAAAAGAGGAGGACTGGCAGTAGTTAGCTGAGGGCTAATCTTCCTCAAAAAAAAAATAATAATATTGCAGTGCATTTTTGAAAGTTGCTAAGAGAGTAAATCTTGAAAGTTCCCATCACAAGAAAAAAAATGTATAATTTGTATGGTGATGGATGGTAACTAGACTTACTACTGTGGTGATCATTTCACAGTGTATACAAATATCAAATCATTATATTGTACACCTGAAACTAATATAATGTTATATGTCAATTGCACCTCAATGTAAAAAAAAATTTTTTTAAAGAATAAGGAGTTCACTAGAATTTAGCCAACAGATTTGGAGTGGAGGTAGGAGGCTCATTTTGGGTAGAGAAAGTAGCCAAAAGCATGATGGTGAGATAGGAAGAACATAAAAGGTAGGAGAAGTTAAACAATTTCAATATAACTGAAATACATGATATAGTAATGACAGTAAGGTAAAATGAGCAAGCACAGGTTTGCAGGAACTAGATAATTACTTGCCATGTGTAGAACAGAGAATGTTTTCAAGAGAAAATGAGAAATCCCACAAGATACGTATGATGGTCTGAAAGCTACACTGTGTTTCACAAAGTATGTTATGCCTTCCAAGTGCCCTGCCACTGAACAAGTTTGAAAAATATTCAAACTCAACAATAAAAAAAACAAACAACCCAATTTAAAAATGGGCAGAGGATTTGAAAAGACATTTTTCCAAAGAAGATATACAGATGGCCAACAGGCACATGAAAAGATGTTCAACATCACTAATTATTAGGCAAACGCAAATCAAAACTACAATGAGATATCACCTCAAGCCCATCAGAATGGCTACTACCAAAAAGACAAGAAATAGGAAGTGTTAGGATGTGAAGAAAAGGGAACCCTTATACACTGCTGGTGGGAATGTAAACTGGTGCAGCCACTATGGAAAACAACATCGAGATTCCTCAAAAAATTAAGAATAGAACTACCATGTGATCCAGCCATTCCACTGCTGGGTATTTATCCAAAGAACATGAAAACACGAATGCATAAAGATATACACACCCCTATGCTCACTGCAGCCTTAATCACAATAGGCAAGACTTGTAAACAACTTAAGTGCCCAATATCGGATGAATGGATAAAGAAGATGTGGTGAGTATATATATATAATGAAACACTACCCAGCCATAAAAAAGATGAAATCTTGCCATTTCTAACAACATGGATGGACCCTGAGGGTACTATGCTAAGTGAAATAAATCAGATGGAGAAAGACAAATACCGTATGATTTCACTTACATGTGGAAGATAAACATATAGATACAGAGAACAGATTGGTAGTTACAGAGGGGGAAGAGGGTTCTGAGGAGAGCAACAAGGGTAAAGGGGCACATGTGTACCGTGATGAATGGTAACTAGACTTTCAGTGGGGATACACAATGTAGTCTATACAGAAGGTGAAATATAATGATGTATATCTGAAATTTATACAATGTTATAAATCATTACCTCAATAAAAATGAATTAAATAAATATTCAATAATAAGATAGTCTAAACAAAATATGACATTCAAGGTTCTTCATAATCTGATCGAAACATTCTTTCCAATCTCATCAACCAGAGTTCTCCAAGATATAGACACACTAATCAGTGTTTCAAATATACCCTAACTTTCACACTTCCATGACTTGCACAAGCCATTTCTCCTGCCTACACTCTCTCCTCCAATTCACTGGCTAGGGCACCCTTTAATTATCTAAGGTCTAGTTCAACAAACAATTTTTCCCTAATGCCTTCCCAAATGTCTTGCTCCTGGAATAATTAATAATCCCCCCAATAGTGCTCCCATAGTATTCACTTATAAAATATGTAGAGTGCCTAATACATGCTAGGCTCTGTTCTAGGCACTTGGAATGCATCAGTGAACAAAAAAAAGACAAATATCCTTGTTTTCACTAAAACTTCGCTGAAACTTGAGGAAGAAACTTTGGAAAAGGAAAAAGAAGAGCATAGGTACTTTGAAAAATCTCCTTAAGAAACTCTATTATGCCCTCCTCCAACTGGGCCAATCCAGGTTGAGATTTACAGCACCAGAAAGCATTACAACAAAATTGTAATCAAAGCCAAAATTTAAAGCACAACAAGAGGAATAATAAGACACAGTGTTATACGTTCTTATATAAATTATTACTTGTCTTTTCCTCTAGTCGATTAATTTTATCTCTGGATTCCTCTAGCAGAAATGTTAAATTTTTCATCTTATCTTCTTTTTCAGTGCTCTGAATCAACAGCAGTGATACCTAAAATGAAATATTTCAATAATATGTTATAGATATAAAAAATTAAATATGATACCATAGCATTTATCATCACCTACAATTATTTTATGCACTTGCTTATATACTTTTCAGCTGGCTGTGCCTTGGCATTTAGTACATGCTTGCACAATAAATATTTACTGAATGAATGAATGAACAAACTAATAATGATATACCCAATATTATAGTATGCATTTTAAGTTATTACTGAGAAGATTATATAATGAAATCTACTGGTGCATTTATTCCATAAATATTATTGAGCACCTCCTCCATTCCAGAAATGATAATAAGCATTGAGTATACAAAGATGAGGGAACTCACCTTTAAGAAACTCATAGCCTAGACTGGAAGACAAACAACTATACTTAAACGTTATCAGTAATAGGACAAAAATGTTAGAGCAATCAGGAAAGGAGAACCTAATCAGTCTTGGGGGATATAATCAAAAATAACTTCTTCTCAGAGAACTGAATCAAGTCTTGATTAACAAGGAGAAGTTAATCAGGCAAACATGGGAAAGTAAGAATTCTACACATACAAGAACACAAAAGATCAAGAAATCATGCTTCATTCAGAGAACTGAAAATATTCAGATAGCTAGAATACAGAATGCATGTGAAGAAAAGGTAGAAGATATATAGATAAGCTGAAGACTTGCAGATTTAAGATGGCAGAGAGACCTCTCTGCCCTATTTTCATCTCCAAATCACCCAAAAAATAACCAGGAAAACAGCAAAGACAGACTTCATCTTCCATGAAACCAGAGGACTTCCATAATCCAAACCACAATATGTAAAGAGGGAAAGCAGTTGAACGGAATGGAAAATGATTTACCATAGGAAAGCAAGGTCAAACCTAAGAGCCTGCACAGAGAAGATACTAATGAGAAGCAAGATAACTCAACCCCAAAGAACCCCAGAATGTTTCAAGAATTAGAGGCAACAGACACTGTGGAAAGTAGGTATGAAACAGGAGACTAAGTACAAGAAGACTATTTGGAAATCTGTAAAAAGAGTAGTAAGACCTGCCTAGGGCCACTTAACCCTCCTATCCTGGCCTCTGCTCCCTGATACACAATGTAGTCAGAGAACCAACCCTACTCCATCTTTGCAAGAGACACAGGCATAGTCAAATTCAAAAAGAGAATCTCTAAACCTGGGGGTATTCCAGGCACAGGGAGGAGTTGGGATGAAGGATATAATTGAAAAGTCAGCATATGGAATGGTGAGACTTCTGTCCTTCCTATCCTGCCAACCCAGCTCCAAAATGCCATCAGCCGAGTTTATATTCCCAGGCAGGAATTTGGAGAACACCAGAAAAAAAGTTCTACAAATAATGACATTTAGGAGTCCCAGCAAAAACACTAGCTGGCCATGCCATCATTTCACAGAGAACTCCAACAATCTGTAAGCTCTGTCCATGTACTCAGAACTCCAATGAGCCTCTTAGCGCTTCATCCTACTTTTATGTTCTTTATATTAAGCACAATTTTAACTTTTAAAAAGACTTCTTTCAGAAATCTGGTTTAAAAATTTAGTTAAAATACAGAAAATTGTTAATGCTTTCAAAAGATCTAAGCATAACAAATTAGAATTCTATCATTTAGCCAGAACTTAAAGAAAACTCTAAGTATCCTCTCTGCACTTTCAATTAACTTTTGTTACTATTGTTTAAGTAGATATCCTTGTTATCTACCATTATAAGGTATCTTGTGGCAAATCAGGGAAGAAAAACTCTGAAAAAACAGAGGGAAAAAGATAGTGCTTTCCATTTGGGAAGCAGAAGGCATGAAACTGATAAAGTTGACATAATAACAACCTGAAACCAACAGTCTTGTGAACGTCAAACAACACAGAGTCACCATCTTCAAGTCTTCCATTATGTGACATTAATAGAAAGAAGCAAAACAACGTTTTAGTTCCCCTTCACTGGTGTCATGGATATTATATTTCAAAATAAACTGCAAAATGTGGGTTTAGTGGCCAATGATCATCATCTTTACATTTTATGAGGTTTTGTCTGAACAAAAGTTCTCATGAAATAATATATTTTTGCAGCAATGCCCTATTACTCAGTAATATAAATACTGTAGAAGATTCACTGATTTTAAAAAAGGGGCTATCATTCAGTGTCTGCATATTTGAGTCAATGGAAATTAATTCTGCTAGGCAAAAAGCTAAATATTTGGATACGTATTATATTAAAATTCTCTCATAGAAATTTATCGTGCAGTTGGAAAATATCAGTTTCTTTTGAAATTTTAAGTATTTTATGAATTAGCAAATACAAAGAATACAGAGAGTTGATTTTTAAAAAACACCTGCTTTTCCTTGTCATTTACTTCCTTCTTGTATTCTTCTTCAAGGTGTTGGATTTTTTCATAATCTTCCTTTACTTTAAAAATAAAACAAATATACTTTAGTATCTTAACATAATTGTATAACAAACAAAATTTAAAGTTTCTGATATTTTATATCACCTCATTTGTCTAGATATTAAACCCCAAAAGTTTCTAACAAGCTAAAACAACTGTTTTCTCACTGCTTTGTTTACTAAATTAGTGAATTTAAATAATATCAGTTATAATAACTTAAGAAAATTCTATAATTTTTATAATAGTACACATATAAAAGTTTTTTATAACACACTAATCTGAAATAACAGATTTTAAATATATAGTTATTTTAACATGCAACTTTACCTAGAAATGTAAAAATAAGACCAAATCACACTTCTAAAAAATTAAACACAAACCACGCTAAATTTGATTTCAGGGAAAATGTAGCTTTGAAGGCAAAAAAGTATTTTTAACATATGTCAATTCTCTGCCATATTCCACCAGATTTTGAGGGGCTTACAAAACTACATACAATACAAAATTTAAAATAGTTGAGGCATCAAGCTGAAGGGATGAAAACATTAACAGAATCTAATAAAAATATAAACAGAAGAAGAGTAATATAAAATATTAAATAGGATCCCTACATTTAAAATGCATTTCCAATCTGGAATTCTCAGCTTGCACACGAAGTTCCTCAAAAGCTATTATCATTTTCTGAAAAATAAAGTGTAACTTTTAAGAATCACGCTTAGACTTTTTTTTTTTTTTTTTTGTCGTTTTTTTTTGTTTGTTTGTTTGTTTTGATTTTGGAGGAAGATTAGCCCTCAGCTAACTACTGCCAGTCCTCCTCTTTTTGCTGAGGAAGCCTGGCTCTGAGCTAACATCCGTGCCCATCTTCCTCTAGTTTATACGTGGCACGCCTACCACAGCATGGCTGCCAAGCAGTGCCATGTCCGCACCCGGGATCCGAACCAGCGAACCCCGGGCCGCCGAGAAGCAGAACGTGCGAACTTAACTGCTGTGCCACCGGGCCGGCCCCGACGCTTAGACTTTTTAAATAGTTTTCTTCAAACTATGAAAATTTAATAAATTTGTTTTATGTGATCATTAGATTTAAAACCACATCTAATGAATAATGAAAACCATATAACTTCTAATAATTAAATAATTTGTTAAAAATGTATTGAGTGCCTATTTTGTTAGCTTCCCAGATGCTTAAAGGCGCTGGAGACATGTTATATAATACTAAACATCAGTAAAATGATCGTTGGTACTCTAGTCACTCACTTAATATCCCATATCAAAATTTGCAATTTTATATTTATTTTTGCTTACTTATTTAATTTCTGTCTTCTCCACTAGAGTGTAACTTCTGTGAGGCCTCTCCCCTTAAGAGTCCAAATTACACTTCTATCATCTGGCAGCATGAGTTCATTCAACATTCAACAAATCTTGATTTGCAAAATTGGATGAACTCATTTATTTGTTCAGTAAATAGTTACTGAATGTCTCTTATGTGCCAGGCACTCTTTTAGGCACTTAGGATATAAATCAAAGTCCTCACCCTACTGGAACTAACTTACATTCCAGTGTAAAAAGAATACATACACACACATGCTTATGTATACCAAATAAATGTCATGCAGGTTTAAGTGCTCTTCAGAAAAGTTAAATGAGGCGAAGAGACAGAAAATAACTGAATAGAAAGATATTTTAGATAAAGTAGTAAGGGGAGTAATAAAGCAGAATGAAGCTAAGGAGTTTGCATAAGATCTTGGACAACAAAGTTCTACACAGAGTGAACAAGTTCAAAGAACCAACATAGGAAAGAGCTTAGCAAGTTTGAGAGACATAAAAAAGAAAAGAGCAACTACCGCAGAGAAACAAAGTAGAGAATGATAGGGGGTGAGATATGAAAGGTAAGTAGGAAGGAGACACAGAATAATAGTACTTTGTATGTTTTTCAAATTAATGGTTATATGTCATAATGTACTAGTCTCTGACACAGAGTTAATATATATTTGACAAAATAAGTTAAATGGTGTCACTAACATGTAAATTCAAAAGCTACTAAATAACAAAACATTAACACTCACAGTATAGAACCTTGGGAATTTTGTTGGTGATATAATCATATGTCAACAAATAAATAATAATCCCTTTAGCAAGAACAGTCGTCTGCATCTTTGTACTATCACTCTACTTTGCTTAGAAATGCCTGTTTAAAATATTCAAATTTTAAGTATCACTTACCTCAATGTTATTATTCATATCCACATAAACTTGCCTAGTTTCTTCCCGTTCATATTCATCTGTTATTAACATAAAATATTTTAAAATTAAATTTTAAAATAATTATGATGCCAACAAGATACTACTCAAAATGCCTCAAGAAAATATTAAAATATTTAAAATTCTGTGTGAGTCAAAGGCACTGGTATATCTTTTGAGTCTTTTAAAGTTACATCAAAAGCAGTTTCATAGTAAGGAATGGTTGTACTTCACTATATCAACCTCAAAAGCTTGGTGCTGTTCTATTATTTCTAATATCCTTTTATGGAATCACTATCCATGAATTTATTGAAGCTTTGTAAAATACATTTATAGTTTTAGCCTTTACAGTGATTAGGGATTTGACAGCTATTCTATAAAGTATTTTTCCTTTATATATTGAAGATTCATGTTACACATGAAAGGCAAAGCTCATTCTTGTTGTGTATTACTTCATTTCCGAGGAGGCAGAAAGGAAGATAAACTTCAAGAAAGGAAGAGCAAGGTTAACAATATGTGTGACCCCAAAGAGAAATTCCCTATGAATCCTCTTTGATCTTCTTTTCTTCTTTTTTTTTTTCTCCTTTTGGACTTAGGAACACTTATATTTTATCATCTAACTTTTAGGTTTTTTACCTGAGCAATGATTCCCTCTAGCAATGATTGCCTCAAGCCTTCAGTAAAATCAGTAAAACTTAGTATTGGTGATAGTGCTGTGAGAATTAAGATACAAGGCAGTAAAAGAAAATGTGGCTGTCCCTTCATCATTCCCCCAAATGAGGCCAGCATCATAGAAACCTCACCAAATTGGAGGAGGGTACTAGTCCCAGATTCTCAGTAACAAGCTGCAAAACAAGAGAATAACAACTATGATAGATTCAAATGTCTATAAGGAGTCAAATAACCAAAGAGAGGGTACATGAACTGACTTTAGAAGAATACAAGTATCCTGAACCCCTCAAACATACTAGAGAGTGCTCTGGACTTATCATAGCACATGGAACAGGAGCTGAACTATTTTTATTTGAATATTAAAGAGCTGGGAAATTTAAGGAAATAGAGGCTAGAACACAGCATTTCAACAGAAAGATAGTTCATACTTCTCGCTCCATCTATTCTTTGTCTCATATTCATCACCTAACACAATTAGCAACAAACCTCTATTCCTCAGAAACTATCTGTGCCAAAGAATTGCATTCTATTGCCAACATCTTCAATCTTCCCACCACCAGCACCATCACTAATACTTCTAAAATTTCCTCCAGCCATTCTTTCAACAGGCATGTACTGGAAATCAAATAAATAAAACTATAGAAAAGAAAATACACCAATATAGATGTACTTTACAGTTATCAGAAGCAAGTCACTACAGGTGGCACAGAGAAGGAACTCTGGTAGCAGAGTGTTCTAATGTGGTGATATAATATTGTAAAAAATATAAGCCTACCTTTTTAGTTTTTCTTCTTGATATTTATCTGTCTATCTATCTATTTCCCTACCCCTCACCTCACTCCCTTTTCCCTCCTTCCTTCCCTCTCTCCCTACCTCCCTCTCTTTTCTTCTCTCTGTGTTTGTGTGTGTGTGTGTGTATGTTTGTGTGTGTCTCTCTCACACACTCACATACACACACACTCTCTCTCTCTCTCTCTTTCTCTGTCTCTCTTACTTCGCCCCAATTTGGGCAACTAGATCTTGTAATATCTATTGCCTTAAAGAAGAGACGATTCAATTAAAAGCCAAGAAAAAGTCTTTGAGTTTCAAAAGTCCAATGCTGGGGTTAAGGGAAGAATTCAGTACATAAACAAGTAATAGATTTGAAAACTATATGAATCAGAACAAAACTTCCCATCCTCTAGGCATAAGAAATATTCACTAGTTTGTAGGGAAGACACCTTTAAAAGAGGAAGCTGAGAGAGCTTGTTAGATTCTGGCAGATACTTAAGAAGTGGTTCTGTAGCCCCCTACACCCACCAGGCTAAGCCTCAGGGTTGGAGACCACAGACATCCCAGATAGTTTGGGCAAACCAAGAGCAGAGTGGGACTGTGCTTTTTTTTTTCTTCAGTAGGGCTCTAGGAAGATGTAGAAGAAATGGCTATGAAATATATCTAGACAGACGGGACTGTAAACAGCTTCACTGTTTCCCTTGTCTCAACACTGTGTGCATCTGAGCACGGTGAGATAAAGCACAAAGAACCAGCAGACCTGAATGGGCCCTGAGGACAGGTATGAGGGATAACTCAGCAACAATCCACGTGGACTAATAACTAAATACCAACTGAAATGAGGAAAGTCTCAATGGACAGACGACTGAGAAATAAATGTCACTCTCTACCACATGATACTATGTAGGCACCCCCAAATTTAGATACAACCCCAGGGAAAGGGAGGAAATTCCCAAATTTACTGAGATTAAATTTCTTCCATGCCAGCAGAATCAAGCCTTTAGGATATTAAAAAATTATGATTTCTAACATTCTAAGATATAAAAATTCTGTGCATGCTTGAGTTTATTGATTAAAATTACTCAGAATCATGGTATTCTACGAAATTTATCAGAGTACCAGAAAACCAGGCAGGCAGGACAAAAGGAAGATGCAGTCATCATACGCAGACCTATGCAAGGAGAAAACTTTAACTGCTCAGTGACCTGCCATACAATTGTAAATATGAAAAGAGGATTCAACCACTAACCCAGCGGGGAGGTAAATTAGGACCAAAGTCAGTTTATCACCTAGTTTAGTTAGTCTGGATAGTTCTTGCCTTTTTCAGTGATGTATATGGTGAGAAAACCTAAATGAGGCCAATGAAAAAATACTGCAAAACGAAGGAAAAAGAACACCGTGAAAGATGTTAAAAGTAACAGCCTCTCTCTGAAAATGAACTCCAGAGAATCCAAATGAAAACCATTCAGTGTTCTCAACAGAACTAAGAAAATATGACCGCAATGAACAGGCCACAACAGAAATACAAAAAATAGGATGAATAAAACAGAAAAATAAATGAGAAGGAAAGGGGCAATGGATTAGTTAATGAGAGACTGCAAGGGAACTGCAGGTTAGAGGCAGGATAGGACAGAATTGATACTTCAAAAGTCAAATTGGAAATACAGGAAACAAACATATAGAAAGAGAGAAGAAAACAAATATTAAAACAATTAGAAGAAGAACAGAGGGCCAAGAAACAAATAATAAGTATTACCCAAACAGAAATAAGATAAAGTGGCCAAAGAGATCATAAAGCTTTCCTGGACTAAAGAAACACTGGTGCACATAGATTGAAATGGTTGTACTGACAAAACTGTGAATTATAAGGATCAAGAAAATGCTACACTCCTGACAAGGGGAAAAATATACACACATACATACACATACTACATATATAGGCAGATCTAGGTATAGATAGATGGAACTGTGATCATCCCCATTTCACAGAGGAAAGTGTGACACAGAAAAATTATGTTATTTGCCAGGATCCCAAAACTAGTAAGTGGTGGTGCATGATTAAAATACAGGTCTGCCTGATGAAATCCAATAGAGATAAATACAAAGAATTCTATTTGGATCCAAAAATCTAAATGCACGTGCAAAAAATGAAGTAAAAAAAGTTAAATATTTTAATTAATAGTAAATTCAATAAACCTATAATACAATGTGACTGTCAAATAAGTTGACTTTAGAGTTATTAATGACACCTACAATTAGACTATAAACAATCTTTTACACAGGTCAAGTTACACATTAGATTACCTTACACAGATCTGGACTCCTAAATATAACAAAGATGTTCAACAGATCAACCAAAATAACAAAAGCACTGAAAAATCTTGAAATGTCTAGGCTAAAGAAGACAAGATTCAAAAAGGACAAGTAGAGGGGGCTGGCCCCATGGCCGAGTGGTTAAGTTCACGCGCTCCACTGCAGGCGGCCCAGTGTTTCGTTGGTTCGAATCCTGGGCGCGGACATGGCATTGCTCATCAAACCATGCTGAGGCAGCGTCCCACATGCCACAACTAGAAGAACCCACAGCGAAGAATATACAACCATGTACAGGGGGACTTTGGGGAGAAAAAGGGAAAAAAAATAAAATCTTTAAAAAAAAAAAAGGACAAGTAGCATCTTTAAAGATCTAAAGAGATAGTACATAAAAAATGGCCTAGACTTTTTCTGTATGCCCCAAGGAGAAAAATTACAATAAGAAGAGAGAAACTACACAGAGATTTCAGCTCACTATAAAATAAGAGCTGTCCTTAAATGACAATCTTGAGGTTAGTGAGTTTCCATCACTGAACATATTCAAACAAAGGAAAGACTACCACTTGGTAGACATTCTGTAAAGGAAATTAAAGCAATGGAAATGTAAGTAAACTACCAAAGCTTTAAAGTCCTCTTCAATACTAAGTAATTTAGGTTAGGAGGTAAGGCTACAAAAAAAGTTTATGTAGTACTTTAAATGACAGGCTAAAGAGTTCTAATATAATTCTGTGTGCAACAAACAGCCATTTAAAGAGGGTTTTTTTCAAGATACATTTAAGAACAGATTCGTTTTTGTTTATGCACTAACTTATTTATTTATTGCTACCATTTTCACAGACACTGTGCAAAGTGTTGAATATACTGAGTCAAATAAGACATGATCTTTTGCCCTCAAGCTTACAGTGAGACATCGGGTATGTAGCAGGCACTCAATAAACATTTGTTGAATTTACAAATACATGATAAAGATATACTAAGAGTACTAAGTGAAAGAAGAGGAACATCTAAATCAGACTGCAACACTGGGGAATATTTCCCAAGGGCAATAATATTTATTCTGAGTTTTGAAGGACAAATGGGAGTTAACAAGATGAAGAAGGAAGGAGGATCAGCCAATAAAAGAAACAATATATGCAAAAGCTCAGAAGCATAATCTGTTTAGGGAATAACAAGTAGTTCTCCATGAGCTTGCAGGGGCCGGGGACAGGGCACATATGGGGAACATTTGGCAAGGTAGAGGGAAGTGGCAAACATCATACTATCCTGAAAATTATGAAAAGCCATTGAAGGAATTAGACAGACATGATTTGATCTATATTTTGTAAAAGCATCAGGGACTCTGTTTTCTGGTAACGGCTAAGTGATTCAGACCAACCATCCTCTTGAAGACAATTAAAAACCTGGAGGAACTTTTTTTAATTATTAGAAGAATCAAAAGGTCTAAAAGGATGACAAATCATCACGCCAAAAATACGTTGAAATCTATAACTTAAAAAAGTTAAACCAACTTCCAGTGGCAGTCAAGATGAAGTAAGTCCACTATAGCCTTTCTCTCCCATTGATTATAACTAAAAACTCTGAATGAAATGCATAAAGCAACTACTTGAGGACTCTGAAAAGTAAGCAAAAGCACACAGATTGGGAAGAAAAGTAAAATCTTGAAGAAGTGACCCATGTAAAGGTGAGTTTTCTATTTGTTCAGTTTTTTTCCTAGCATTAACCAAAGTAAGGCCCCAGTGGAACTGTAACAATAAGCATGAGCAGCAAAAGGAAATCCTGATTTTTTTTCTCTCGTAGCCCTGCCCCAAGGGTGGCCCCAGTAGTAGAGCTACAGCAGCCATGACAGCAAGGACAGACAAAACCCCAAGAGAAACTCCATATTTCTGTCCAAAGGACAGGGAAAAAGGGCCCCTGTAAGGCAGAGAATGAGGGGGCAATCCTAGAGAGAGCTGGAGAACGGGATTACCTAATTCATGTGTATGAACTGGCACAAGTCCCACGGGGAAAAGGGAGAATGTGCATATATAGGACAGACTCAAAGCAAATATAGCAAAGGCTTTGAAAACTGAATTCCAATAGAAATTATAATCCAAATCCAAGAACTAATCTTGATTGGAGCATACATGAAACAGACTCAGAGCAGCATAGCAAAGGCTTTGAAAACTGAACTAATATTAGAACCCCAGCACACAAAAGAGAAGATAGAACTTGTGGTCTGACCCTGAGTTGACTATCTGCTAAAAAGTAAACAAATAAACAAACATTCTCCAGGAGATTTTAACAGGACCCAGAATCCCACAACATAATATTCAAAACGTCCCAGATATAACCCAGAATTGTTCAACATTCAAAGAACTAGGAAAATGTGACATGATCCTAAGTTTCAAGCAAACAAACAAAGATAACAAAGTACACAATGAGATAAACAAAAACTAGAATCTACAGAACAACAAAGCACAAAAACAGACACCAAGGGATTCCAGATATTGGCATTACTGGACACAAACTTTAATAAAACCATGTTTACTATGTTCATGGAGATAAAAAGCTGGTTTAAAAATTTCAGCAAGAAACTTGACACTCTAAAAAGTGACACTACAGATATTTTAAAAACAAGCTAATATTTACAGAAGCAGAAAGTGCAATAACAGAAATTAAGACTTCAACTAATGAATTTAAAAACAGATTAAAAATAGGTAGAGAATTAGTGAACTGGAAGAGAGGCTAGAAGAAATTATCCTGAATGGAGCACAATGAGAAAAAAGATGAAAAATACAGGGGTTCGGCCCCTTGCCCAAGTGGTTAAGTTCCCACACTCACTTCTGTGGCCCAGGGTTTTGCCGGTTCGGATCCTGGGCGAGGACATGGCACCACTCATCAGGCCATGCTGAGGTGGTGTGCCACATGCCACAACCAGAAGGACCCACAACTAAAATATACACCTATGTACTGGGGGGATTTGGGGAGAAAAAGAAAAAAGAAAAAAAGAAGAAGACTGGCAACACTTGTTAGCTCAGGTGCCAATCTTTAAAAAAAGAAAGAAAAATACATAGAGGGTGAGAAATATCAAAGATACAGCAGAGTAGCCTTATAGCTATGACTTGAAAAGATTAAACAGGCTCTCATCTAAAGGACTTTGCACTTGCTGTTTCCTCTGCCTGAAATATTCATTCCCAAAATAGCTATATGACTCACTCCCTCAACTTATTCAGGTCCTTAATCAAATACCACTTAATCCGAAAAACTCCCCCAACTACCCTATCTCAAAATAGTGTCTCCTTAGGCAGTTATCATCACCCAACATGTATTTTATTTATTCATTTATTGTCCTTGTCCCTCCACTAGAATAGCATACTCCATAAGAGCAGAAACTTTGTTCACTGCTGTTTTTCCTTAGCATCCAGAACATTTCATAACACATAGTAGACACATAAAAATGTTGAATGTGGGGCTGGCCCACTGGTGTAGTGGTTAAGTTCATGAGCTCTGCTTCAGTGGCCAGGGGTTCACGGGTTGAGATCCTGGGCACGAACCTAGCACCACTCATCAAGCCATGCTGTGGCAGTGTCCCACATAAAATAGAGGAAGACTGGCACAGGTGTTAGCTCAGCAACAGTCTTCTTCAAGCAAAAAGAGGAAGTATGGCAACAGATGTTAGCTCAGGGCCAATCTTCCTCACAAAAGAAAAAAAATGTTGAATGAATAAATAAAAGGGAGAGGAAATGACAATGACAAAAAGAAAGACTTAAGGAAAGAATCTGCATGGAGTTTACACTAATAACAAGGTAAGGATTAAGATTTTTTTTAAGAAAATCTACATGTCACATCAAGATACACTCTTTAGTTCATTTAAGAGATCACCTAAAAAATATTTAAAAAGTCTTCAAATCTCTTCCACCATCTGATCTCTGACTTAGCTTAAAATTGAACAGAGGAAAGAACTTGCAGCCTTGTCTCTCCAGTCTGGGTTACTTTCTGTGAGGCAGTCAATATACTATCCCTCCACCTCTACCCGTATACTTTTCACCACTTTTTATATCTAGACAGAAAAGCTAATTTTTATGCATTTAGCTAGGCATTACGCTAAGTGAAATAAGTCAGACCAAGAAAGACAAATACCACGTGATCTCTCTTACATGTGGAACCTAAAAAAACAAACAAACAAAAAAACCAACAACAAAAAAAAACAAGTTCACAGATAGAGAACAGATTAGTGGTTGCCAGATGCAAGGGCTGGAAGTTGGGAGAAGGAGGTCAAAAGGTTAAAAAAGAAAAAGTGGACATTGCTTTTGCTCTATACACCTTCTCTGCCCTTCTTCCTTCCCACAACAAAGTAAAATAACTATTTTTTAATTTCTCTAACTTCAGTAAAAATACATAAACTCCTCTTTCTTACTTTGTCAACTCTGATTTCTTACTTTGTAAGTTAAGGATATTAAAAGCCCTACACTTCTTTCCACCTCTCCTCCTCTCCTTCTGTCTCTCAAGTATAATCAGCTATGCTTTTTGCTTTGCATTTCCAAGATTGATAACATTCTGTTTTGTAACTATTATTAAGTCTGCCATGATTTGTCTATAGCTTTACTCTAAAAGTTAAAAATCAATAAACAAAATAGACTTGAATAAACAAAAAAAATATGTTCTTGAATAGGAAGACTCAACGTCTAATAAAGATCTTTCCTTCATAAGTAAGTTTATAAATGTAATGTAATAAAATAAAAATACTATGAGACTTTTTTTCTGGAGCTAGACAAGTTGATTATGAAGTCCACTTGGAGGAAAATACAAGTAGGAATAGCTAGAAAAACTCTGAGAAGAAGAGCAGTGGGGCTGGGTTGAGGGCCTAGACCTACTAGATATTAAAGCACATGACAAAGCTTCTCTAAGCAAAAAAAAAAAAAAAAAAGCCTATGTCTAATTTGCCAGTCTCTCCTGATTGAGGAGGCTATGTGTTCCACATGGAGCATCTACTACTAAAAAAAGAAAAGGGAAAGAAGAGCTAATCTTGAAAATTGAAAGTTGAATGAACAGGATGTAGTGGAGGAGCTGGTGGTGATGCAATACATTCTGGAAGGTATATATAGTTCCAAAAGCAAAGTACTATAGGCAGGGACCAAGAACAAAAAACCTAGCCATAGTGCATACCAGAAATAATAATAATAATAATAATTAACATTTATTGAGCACTTTGCACTGTTCTAAGTATTTTTTATTTATTGACTGATTCTCAAAACAACACTAGAGATATTTTATTAATTAATAAACAGAGGGCCAGAGAGGTTGTATAACTTCTGCAAATTATTCAAAGTCAAGCAGATAGCAACTCAAAGTTTGAATTTGAACACAGGATAACTCTTAAGCCCAACCACTTAAACAGTAAACTGTGTGATATCAATTAAAATTTTTAGCTAAGAAAAACAGGGGCTATCCTGTAAAAGCAGGTAAACTTCTTGAATCTATCTATTCTTCCAACAGATTCTTGGCAGAAACAAAGCAGAGCTAGTATCAAATTGATGACAAAGATAAAAACTATTTTTTTGAAAATCAGACTTTTGTTTTTCATCAAAATGAAAAAAAAATCCCACTTTACAATTAAAATCAAAATATGCAGAAAATAAAAACAGGTACTTTAATATACACACCACAACCTTACAAGAATATTTTAAAACAATGTTTCTTTAGGAGAAATTTGAGAATTCTATTTGGATTGGAAATAAACATTGCACCATATTCTTAAGTACTATGCCTTCAGCATAGCCCTCCACTGGTATTTTCTATTATGAACACGGCTATATATCATATTCTTGATTCAATTTTCTGGTTGTTCCGGACAGAAGAGTAGGTTAGTCTCAAGATCACACTTTAACAGAAATAAGAACTAACTATAAATGCCAAGCATATATCTTTTGAAATACATCATCTTTCAAAAAGCTTTGAGCTTTCAAAGCTCAAATAACTGAGAATCTAGTTTCTACTTATAGAAAGAAATGGTATGAGGCACATATAACTTGTTAAATCAAAATTGGTTCCAAAAAGTGAAAAGACAATTTCTTCCCTCTCTACCTCCACCATTAAAATAATAAACAGTAATAAATTGATAAAATCCCATAAAACAAAAAAGATATTTACATTTTTTTGTCTTGTCTGCAGATCTGGCACAAGTTTCTTTGAGTAGATTACATAAATGCCTTGTAGCGTTATTCCTGAAACAAAGGAAAGAGTTTGCCTAAGCAAATTCTGATCTCAAAGAAAAATCATATATAAAAGTTATAAAACATATTGTTACGATTTTTAAAGAATTTCTTAAAACATTATATTTTGTATATATCACATATCACTCATAAATGACTATATGAAGAAAAACTGGTTGATTCTACTATTAGCAAAGATGATCTAGTAACTGCTTCCCTTTATTTATTTATTTATTTTTTTGAGGAAGATTAGCCCTGAGCTAGCATCTGCTGCCAATCCTCCTCTTTTTGCTGAGGAAGACTGGCCCCGAGCTAACATCCATGCCCATCTTCCTCTACTTTATATGTGGGACACCTACCACAGCACAGCTTGCCAAGCGGTGCCATGTCCGCACCCGGGATCCAAACCGGTGAACCCCAGGCCACCAAAGCAGAATGTGTGTACTTAACTGCTGCGTCACCAGGCTGGCCCCTGCCTCTCTTTAAATGTAAAAGGGACACCTCCTTAACAAGCTTCTACCCAAACAGCTATCAATAACCTTTCAGCAAACACTTCCAGATTTGCCTAATGGAAAAAAAAATGAGAAAAGAAAGTTGGGTTTTTCATTTACTAATTACCCCAGAAATATTCTAGCTGTCTTACCTTCAAAACATAAAACAGGTAATTTTCTGACTAGCCATTCATTACATGTACAAAAAGACCTCTGATCATCAATAGATGCAGAGAAATCATTTGACAAAATTCAACATCCGTTTATAATAAAAACTTTCAACAAAGTGGGTGTAAAGGGAATATACTTCAACACAATAAAGGCTATATATGATAAGCCCACAGTAATATCATACTTACGGTGAAAAGCTGAAAGCTTTTCCTCTAAGATCAGGAACAAAACAAGGATGCCCACTTTCACCACTTTTATTCAACATAGTATTGGAAGTTCTAGCCAGAACAATTAGGGAAGAAAAAGAAATAAAAAATATCTAGGGGCCGGCCCCGTGGCCAAGTGGTTAAGTCTGCATGCTCCACTTCAGCGGCCCAGGGTTTCGCTGGTTCGGATCTAGGGCGCGGACATGGCACCACTCATCAGGCCATGCTGAGGCGGCATCCCACATGCCACAACTAGAAGGACCCATAACTAAAATATACAACTATGTACTGGGGGGATTTGGGGAGAAAAAGCAGAAAGAAAAAAAAGAAAACAATCTCATTTACAGTTGCATAAAAAAGAATAAAATACTAGAAAAAAATTCAAGCAAGGAGGTGAAAGATATGTATGCTGAAAACTACAAGACACTGATAAAAGAAACTGTAGAATACACAAATAAATGGAAAGATATTCCATGCTCATGGACTGGAAGAATTAATACTGTTAAAATCTCCATACTACCCAAAGTAGTCTATAGATTCAATGCAATCCTTATCAAATTTTCAACGGCATTTTTCACAGAAAAAGAAGAAACAATATTAAAATTTGTATGGAGTCAGAAAGTACCCCAATCTTTGAGAAAGAAGAAAAAAGCTGGAGGCATCACACCTCCTGATTTCAAACTATATTACAAAGATACAGTAATCAAAAAAATATGGTATCGGGCCGGCCCAGAGGCGCAGCGGTTAAGTTCACACATTCTGCTTCGGTGGCCCGGAGTTCACAGGTTCCGATCCCAGGTGCGGATATGGCGCCACTTGTCAAGCCACGCTGTGGCAGGCGTCCCACATATAAAGTAGAGGAAGATGGGCACGGATGTTAGCTCAGGGCCAGTCTTCCTCAGCAAAAAGAGGAGGATTGGCAGATGTTAGTTCAGGGCTAGTCTTCCTAAAAAAAAATTCTATACTATACTATACTACACTATAGTATGTAACTAAACTTAATAGTCACGGTATTCACAAAAACTCAAGTGTTTATTAGTGGAGGCAGTAGCAATTCTAAGAAAGCTCACAAGTTATCAAATACTGGTATTAGGGCTATAGTAGGCATTACATCTGTCTTATAAGATACCATAGGAACTCAATCACATGCCCATCTAAAAATGTCAAGTATCAAACATACAGCAGACACCCAATGTTAGAACCTTCCTCCTCCCTCTCCCTTCCCCTTATAACCAAACCTCACTTAAGGAGGGAAAAAATTAAAGTGTAACATTTAAATTTTATCTGGAAAGTCATAGGTTGTCTTTCAATTGGGCTAAAACAATCCATTGAAATAGCAGTTTTCAGTTATCAGCAACCTCACTTACAAGATGATAGGCCTTCTAGAACCGTATTTAGCATAACGTTTAACTTAAAGCAAGTAGGAATAAATAAATTTGCCATTCTACATGGACCACCCATACATTACATTCTAACTATTCAATATTTACTTGGCAGATGAATTAAACAATTACATTTTTCTATTAAAATCTGCATGATATAATCTGAATGAGGCGATAAAGGTATAAAATAAGGTTTAGCTATTGGCTAGAACAAAGGAAAGGAAAAGGCAAAGATAATACTAAAGTTTTAAGCCAAAATTATTGGAAGAATCTTTGGGCCACTGGCAAAAACAGGAACTTGAGAGTGAAAATTAGCTTAGAACTAAGTTGAGTCCTATTTTACAAGTGTTGCACCTAAAACAGAAAGGTAGACAATATACACAGGCAGTTGTAGATATAGGATTATCAGGTACCTTTTTTGGCACCAAGAAACAGTCCCTCCTGCCCGACATTTTGAAAAGTGAGAAGGTGTTAGTCAGTGACTACAGTCTGCCAAATGCAAGAATGTAAAATAGGTATGTCTTCCTCTTTCCACAGCACCCAAGTAGAATTCTACATATAAGTTAATATAATATAACAGAAAGCGCTCAATAAATTTTTAGAAATTATCTTAATAATAAATTTGTAATAAAAAATAAATTTGGAAAGAACAAATTCATTAAATTATTACTTACTCTTTTATTAAATCTTTATTTTCTTGAATTCCTTCTTCTAATTTCAAACTTACTTTTTCATTTTCAAACTAATTTACAAAACAGAAGAACAGTTCACAATTGCTTAGCAAAATAAACAAGAATATAATTATTAAGCAGCACTTCTTTGCTAACATGCTATGATGGTCTATAAGAATTCTTTTCTTTTCTCTGTACATGAAAAAGAACTTTTTTGTCACATCTTACGGATTTCCCTTATGGATTTCCCATAACAATAAGGGTCTCGCTTTCATCAATCTAAAATCAAGTTTCCAGAATCATTTCAAAAAAGTATCCAACAATATTTTAATTCAATATTATCTTTCCTAAACATTTTGAAATGATGTTTTATCTTTGTTCTAACCCAATGTTGCATTCTCTCAACATTTCTTTCACTATGCCATAAAATTAAAGCTGAACAGTTTCAAATTTAAAGTTTTACCCTCAAACGTCATATTCCAATATAATAAAAGATATTTATATCAAACAAAACATCATCAGTAATAAGTAAAAACAAAAACTCTATAATAAATTTGAATCATTAAATTAAACTTTACCTAAAGTAATTTGTTTCTCTAATCATTTGCATTAATATTTGTGCAACTTATTTTCTATGCTCATCCTAAAGCTAAAACGCAACTAGTATCAACGAAACTTTAGAAAAGCACTGTCTTTAAAATCCACATCACAGAAACACGATAAACCCAACTTACCCTGAAATAATACTCTATTTTAAACAGTATTCTGATAAGATTTACTATACTACATTTTCAGTTCCAAATCTTGTTATACCTGCAGTTCCTGAATGGCTTTCCGCTGTGCTTCAATTATCTTTCTATTCTCTTGCAACTTATTTTCTTTTTGCTTCAGTTCAGATTCTACATTCACTTTCCACTTCTTGATCTTTTCTGCCTCCTTATACAGTTTTGAATATAGTCTGCTCATTGGCTCAGAATTCTATTAAAATACATTTTCAAAGATTGTTAATTGTTCAAAACTTTAGTATAACCAAACTACTGCTGCCTACTGAAAATATCCATGAGTAATAGTACCTAAATAGTTGAGACAAAATCTCTCCTCAATTTACGCCCTAATAGTATACTGAAAGCTACATTAACTCTTTTAAACGACTAAGGCTGTACTAGCTACTTCACTAAAGTTACTGGTCACTTGACTAAGTTATACCTTGCTGAATAAAAACAAATAGCTTCAAAACGTATCTAAGTCAGAAGTTAGAAATATTTTAGTCACTGAGAGAATCTGGCTGGTTAAAAGCTAAAATAAATCACTCTACAAAAAATTTATAAACTTGAACAATGGTCTTGAAAAATTTTGGTGATACAAACTATTTGAGGATTAACTAAAGGACATGAAGTTTAAAATATAATGACAAGAAAAATAATAGTGAAAATGAGATCTAACTTTCAACTAGCCTGAGGTTTTATTTGGATTTTCTGCATTATCCATTTCCACATTACAAGGTAACTGCCAGAGTTTTGTTTTGTTTTTTTTAAATCACACTGATTTCTGTGTGCTGATAATAGACCTTTGTTATCAAAATATATGAATAAGTTCCATATTTTTAAATTCTGTGATACTATAATCATAGCAACAAACATACAGCATTTTATCAGGCCACAGAATTTCTCTTCCTTTTAAAGACATCTATGTGCCATAAGTAAGAAGAACTTTTATAACTAAAATCAAAAGTACAGCATGTCCTGCAAATTCCTTAATCAGTAAACCAGCCCATCATCCCTATTAATTAAAATATTTGTAAAATTATTTGTAAAAAAGCCTTGATTCTCAGCCTTTTCGCATATCCATCCATCTCCCCTCTTCTTGATTTTTCTTTGTGTTTCACTAATTCCTATGGTTTAAAATTAAATTGCTCCTAAATAATAGAAGCTTTTAAAACCTAGGAAAATACATAAGCCTAGTGTTTCTGCAATTTTAGGAGAAAAAGGTTTTAAAAGATATATTTTAAAACATTAACCAAATATTAATCCTTTTGAAACTTCAAAAGAAAGACACATACAAATAATAATAAATGATTCTCCAATTACAAGAAATTTATACAGATGGGAAATCTTCTGACCTCATAATCAGAGTCTTTTAGTCCTTCCTGGTAGTGACAACTGTCAGAATTATCAACCTACAAAAATGAATAAATGTTTCCTGTAAGAAAATATTTCTGATAAGAGTTTCCAAACAGCAGCAATTACATACTGAAGACTAGTAATCCAACAACTAAAGAGTTTTTTCTTTTTCAAGTAAGCAATTCAATACCTAAACAAATTACATCCATATACACGATACTTAACTGACCTGTTCAAGCATGGGCAAAAAGCTAACTTTTCGTAAAGCAGGATCTGCAAGATAAAAGACAACTAGTATCAAATACGCCAACATATTTTTTATATTAAGTATTATATCTAGCTTTAATGTCAAGGTTATCAATATAATACTTGTGTTATATTCTCAATATCTAGCAATGTGTATTTAAAATATGATTCTACGTAAGGTGATATTTCGCTTTTCCAGTCTCCTACCTGAATCAATGTTTTCCCCATTTTTGGAGAGATTAGTCATGGCAAATGGAAAACCAAAATCATCTTCAATACATTTGTTGAAATTCTAGAAACACAAAGAACTTCTTAAACATACTGCTCCATACACTCTGATAACTAGCAGTGTAATATGAATTACACATGTAACATACATCTGCTTAAAGAGGTCACTCTAATTATAAATCTTTTAACGTACATATAGTGTTTAAAACATCAAACGCTTTTGCTATGTAAACAATGGAAAAATTTTTAATTAGGTATTTTCACTTGTAAGATGAAGCTAATCTATAAATTATGCAAAATACAATACACGCTTTGCAAGTATTCAAGAATAATACTAGTAATTTTATCTAGTAGCATAGAATATTAGTTTTCTTCCATTTCATTACGATCTTTTCCTTGATAGAACTGAAAATTGTCTTCACTGAATGGCATTTTAATCTTATTCTCCTGGCTACAGAGACATAAAAACATTTCTATGGCATATAAAATTTAAATATTCATTGCTTCATTCCACCTCCAATATAAAGTTCCACATAAGAAATTTTTCAAATAATTTAGTAGAAGCTCTGTTTCACCTAAGAAACTTGGTATAACTCCTCCTTTCTGATAAGAACGCTATTATATAAATAAATGTTCCTTTTTAATCCTGTCAACCAGGAAGCTCAGAGCCAAAGTTTAAGCTCAGTCATACACTAATCTTTTCCAGTATGTCAACGTATTTGTCCAAATTTTCTTGATTCTCCTCGACCCTAATATCGTCCTAAGTTGCATTTTACTATCTCGTATATATCTCACAAGTTGCCTCGGATCACGGAGGAGGGGGTTACAATAAGCAGGTCGCACTGGGGACGCGGAGTTCTACAGCAGCAGAGACTCTGCCCACACACAGCAAGGATGCTCATTATCCATTCTAAGCACTATTACTCAAAATTCTTGGGTAAAGCAGACCATATTTACTGAAAAGAAAGAATTACACCGCCTTATTTACCTGCAGTTAAGAATAGTCAAATCAAGGTTCATATGCAAATTTACCTGGAAGAAATTAGAATCTCCTCCCAAGGTCTGAGGTTTCACTGCAGACACTTGACTGCTACTTAATCTCGGTGGTACAAACAATTTAAAGGGCTTTTGCTTCTCCATTTTCTGTCTTCCAGTTGTAATTATCTATTGCCCCGAGGGGTGGGGTGGGGGGGGAGAGGTATTTCATTAATACACTGTCCTTCATTTAAAAAGGTGATGTCTGTACGATAAACGGCTTATCGAGGAAGGGACGCAGACTCCGCCGCCGTGGAAGCCCATGCAGCGCTGACTGCCAGGGTGGGCAAAGCACGAACAGCCCGGACTTGGTCCCCCGTCCCCCCGCCACCAAGGGCCACGCTGGCGACCTGGACAGGCGAGAACCTCGAACAAGAGCTCAACCCTGTGCGAGCCTCAAAAGCAAGCCCGCTACCTTCACCAGCCCCGTTAAATTGCATCCCCTCCCGGGAGGAACTGTGTTTGGTTCTTAGACGACTATCGACTACCGGCGACGCCGAAGGCGCGGGGGCGGCCGAGAGAGCGAGCGAGGCGATGGGAACGTGCCCCAGCTCCGGGTTCCGTCCTCAGGAACCCCCACCTTTACCTTTAAAGAACCAGCGGGAAGCCGCAGGCCCGCTGTCCACGCGAACTGCTGCCTGCCCTCCGCCAGGCAGCAAAAAGAATCAAGAGCTTCTGCCTTCGAACCTCAGAAGAGGCGGGAAATCGCTCCCCCTCAGCGGCCAGCAGGGAGTGGGCGAGGCGAATGACCGTTTAACCGCTAAATAACTGTCAGCCAAGACAGCTGGGTCCGAAGACCTACGTCTCGCGAGATTTCCCTTTACGTTAGTAACGATTCTTCCCCGGATTCTGTTTCTCCCTAGTGCGGACGTTCTTGAAGCTTCTACGATTGGCAAAGACTACAAAGAGAGCTGTCAGGTGCTATGATAAATTGGAGGTGATGGTGACAAATGCATTTCGGTCTTACAAGAGCTCACAGTGTGAAGAAGGAAGCAGATGTGCAAACAAACAATTGTAGCCACGTGTAATCATTTAAAGGTGGTAATTTTCAAAGAGTCGTTGGGACACAGGGAAAGTGGCGTTTACCGGGGCGTGGGCAGTCAGGAGAGGCTTCACAGACGTGGGGCGCTTCTGCTGCTGCTGCCGCCGAGAATAGAAGACTGGATGGAGGGTTGGCTAGATGGGGCGTGGGGGAAGGTACTCCGGGCCAGGGAAGCTGGGTAAGGCGCTGGAGCCGTGAGGGAGGTGAACACGTCAGGGAGGAGAGCGGCGGAGGTGTGTGAGGACGGAGAGGGAAAATGGCAAGAGGAGTCTGGAGACAGCAGATAGAAAGGCCTTGCAAAGGTTTTCGGACTTTAGCCTTTAGGGATGGAAGTCTTGGAGAATTTTGAGCGGAAAGGGAGGCATAGTCAAGTTCAGAAGAAAATTTGTAGTATAAAAAATGGTTTAGGCTTATGAGACTGGAGTTAAGGACATAGTTTTAATAGCCTGGGTAAGGTATGTGGACCTGAGCTATGACAGTGGCAGTGGAGAGGAAGAAGTGTCGAATATAAAAGATATTTAGGAAGTAAAATTGATAGGATTTGATGGCTTTTTCATAGTGAACAGTGAAAGGGAGAAGTCTAGGATGACTGCCTGTGCTCCGGGTTGGGCGACTAGATAGAGTGAATACTGTGGCGCTAAGTACTTAGGTTTGAGCAGTAAGATCATGAGTTCCGTTATGGACACACCTACTGTTTTCTAAATTTCTCCATGTACTGTAATATAATTAATGCTTTTTCAAAGGATTTTAGTAATATTTTTAAATAACCCATTTCGTTTTGTATAAATTTAATCTATCGGGGCGGGCCTGTGGCCTATCGGTTAAGTTGTTCGCTGGGCTTCGGAGGCCCAGGGTTTCCCTCCTTGGATCCTGGGCGAGGACGTGGCACCGCTCACCAGGCCCTGCTCAGGCGGCCCCACACAGCACAGCCAGAAGGACCTACAACTAGAACATACAACTATGTACCGGGGGCTTTGGGGAGAAGAAAAAGAAAAACAAAAAAGAAGATTGGCAACAGATGTTAGCTCAGGTGCCAATCTATAAAAAAAAAGAAAAATTAATCTGTCAGACATAATAGTTTCTGCTAAAATTACAAAATTTTTGAGCTGGAAAGGATGATCCAGCATAACACTGTCATTTTACATTTTAAGGAAACTGAGTCTAGATACTCTAGAAAACATAAAATACTCCTTCCAAGACACGATACCAGGAATATGCACAAGATACCTCCTGGGGGTGATAATTGATACATTTAATAAAGATCTTTTTTAAGTTGAGGGTATAAATTCAATAATCCAATTTTTTTGTTTTACAACAGTGAAAAAGTCAACTATGATCTTTTCTTCGTTATTGAAAACCAAAATGCTACTCCTTTTTTAAGGAGTGTTAACTTAAATTCACAGTATTTTACTTACATCCAGTCTTTCAAAATGATAGTGTCACCACAGAATTTCTCAATTTCATGTTTTTCACATGAAATTTATTTTTAATATATAACCATCCTATCCTTACAAGGATTAAAATATTTATTGAAGGATTTCAGATTTTAAGAACTTAATTTTTTCTACAAAAATGTCAAAATATTGTCTACCAGAATGAGCAGTAAATTGTGCTAAATTTCCCAATATATGTTAAAATATGTTAATGATTTGTCATGCTAATTTTTTCAGTATCTTGCCATCGCAAATTTTTTAATTGGGGTTTATGAAGGATCTCTTTTTTAAAGACATTAAGAAAAGATAAGAGTTAAGCAAAGCTTTGTTCCTCTTTAATAATTCATAAAATGCTATAACAAGAATAGGTTTGAAATGTTAGTTCCTTATGCACCAATCTGGCCTTAATTAATAAGGTTCACAAACTGCCTTTGTTCTGATTACAACTATTTCCAATAGATAGCCTTTTTTTAATGTCTTTAAGTAATCTATGTATTTTCATTCAATTTTCTACTAAATGAAAAAGTAGAGTTTCCTCATGTAAGAACTCTATTAGCATTATTCCCTGTTGAAGGAACCATGCAGTAACAATAACCATTGCTTCTTTTGAGTAGAATCTTGAAAGGAATCTTAGATGTCCCTCTAGTGGTGGTCCTATATTCCACAAAATTTGATGAGCCCTGATGATGTCCATTTTGCAGTAGTATATTTAACATAGCAATTCTGTTCATGTTTTTCAAATCAATCACCCTATAATGATAAAGTAAACAGTTTAGATGTAGGAAGTTTAAGACAAACCACAACATTCTGAAATTTCAGCAATGTGAATACAAATTCCATTTCTGAGAGAGTAAAATAGCCAATTTGGAGTCCTTTGTTTTCCAAATGCTAAGTATTTCTGAGTGGTTGTGATTCAGTGTTCTCAGTTCAGTGAGCCTCCCTATGAGACGAGCAAAATGCTGTAGATCTTCTGGATGATAAAGTTTTGAATATTTATACAAAATTTGTAAAATTGGTTCTTGTAAATTTTCCACATGTTGCTTATTTTTAAGGCATGGACGATCTGAAAAACATCATCATACATATCTTAATGAATACTGGAAAATGGTAGAAGATAATTAATTTAAAGCAATACAGTTTTTAAATATTAAAAATAGCAAATATTTACTGAACCCTTAATATATGCCAGATGTTATGCTAAGTAACTTGCTTCTTTGCAATATCTTAATCTTCGTAATACTCTATGAAGAGTATTCTTTAATGGTTAGGCAGCGTTCATTCATCCAGTCGTTGTGCTAGAGATACAGCAAAGGAACATAAGAGACAAAATTTCCTGCCCTAATTGAGCTTATATTCTGTGTCTGGGAGGTGCAGGGGAGGAAAGAGACATATACATGGGTTTTTTTAAATAAAAATATAATATGACAGTGATAAGTGTTATAGAGAAAAATAAAGAGGGAAAGGGATAAGAATTTAGGATGAAGGGGCAGTAGCTATTTTTCAAAGGGTAATCAGAGATAAGATGACATTTAACAGAGATCCAAGATGGGGAAGGAGGGAGCAGGTAGCTATCTAGGAAAAGAGCTTTGCAAGCAGATTTGTCAAGTACACTAGGACCTGTGGCAGGAGCCTGCTTGCAATTTTCAAGGAACATATGCATCAAAAGCAATGTGGCTGTGGTGTGTTGTAAGCAAAAGGGATAGTAGTAGGTAATGATGGAAAGAACTTTTACTTTAATCTGTGTAAAATAGAAAGCCATTAAAGGGTTATGAGCAGAGAAATGACGTGATCTGGCTTAAGTTTTCAAAGAATCACTATACAGTTATAGAGAATAGACCCTAGAGAGGCAAGAGCAGAAAAAGGAAAGAGAGTTAGGGTGGTAGTTTTGATTAGGGTGGCAGGGACAGAGACATTAAGAAGTGGTTGAGTCCTGGGTATATTTTGAGGCTAGAGCCAACAGGATTTGTTGCATATTTGATATGGGCACAAGAAAAAGAAAGAAGTGAAGGATGACTTCAAGAATTTTGGCTTATGCAACTTGAAGGATGGAGATGCCATTTAGTAGAGATGGAGAAAGAATATAGGAGGATCAGGAGGGAGATCAGGCGTTCACCTTTGGACTTGTTAAATTTGATATGCCTACCACACATCCAAGTTGAAATCTTGAGGAGGATGTTTAATGGCATTTAGGGGAGTAGTCTAGGTCGATATATAAATTTGGGAGATGTCAGCATATCAATGACTTTGAAAACCATGAGATAGGATGGAATTTCAAAGGAAATGGATATAGAAGAAAAGAGAACTGAGCCCTGGAATACTCTAACATTTATCAGTGTGGGAGATGAGGAGGAAGTAACAGGAGACAAAAAGGGCAGCTACTGAGGAGGAAAATCAAGACAATGTGATGTCCTGGAAATCAGGTGAAAAAAAAGCATGTCAAGAAGGAGGGAGTGATCAACTGAAGCCAAGTGATGAAGTGTTCCAAGAGAGAGTGAGTGATCTGCTCTGTCAAAAGGAGCTGATGGGTCAAGTAAGATGAGGACTAAGAATTGACCACTGAAATCAGCAATGCCAAATTATAGAAGATCTTGACAAGTTATGGTGGAGTGGAAAGGAGGGATCAAAATCTGACTGTATTGGGTTCAGGAGTGAATGAGAGGATACAAATGGAGGCAGGAGTGTAGATAACTCTAAAAAAAATTTTTTTCTGTGATGTGGAACAGAGAAATGGGAGAATAGCTGAAAGGAGATTTGAGGTCAAGAAGATTTTTAAGATGCAAGAAATTACACATTTGTAAACTGAAGGGAATACTCTTCTAGAATATTCTGGGAAGAGTACGAAAGGGAAGAGACATATACACATTTTTTTAAATAAAAATATAATATGACAGTGATAAGTGTTATAGAGAAAAATAAACAGGGAAGGGGGATAAGAATTTAGATGAAAGGGCAGTAGCTATTTTTTTAAAGGGTAATGAGAGATAAGATGGCATTTAGCAGAGATTTAATTTTGATTGACTGAGGTAATTTTGATGAAACAAAATTGATACATTTGGCACCAATGAATAATAACCACAAACTTCATGCTTTCGTTGCCAAATTTAATCCAAGCTTTTGCTGCCAAATGGTTTTTACCTGAAAAAAACACAGCTGTTGCTGCAAGCAGAGCATATTCAGTATTAGTAATATTAAGCTCACTCATTCTTCTGTAGAAGTAAAACAGTGTGGTAATAAATTCTTCAGAAATACCTAGAAAGATTAACATCAAATGCATTTTCATCAGAACTTAGTGTAGAATCAAACATATTGCCATTGTCATTTTTTCTCAAAGCAGTATAAGAAAATGACACTATATCTGTTCAATTTTTTCCTTCCAATGTAATATTTTGGATTGTATGTAATATTACCAGTCAGCGTAGTAGAAGGACAGTCTGTGTTGTAAAATGTTTCCATAGGATGAATAACACTTCTGTCACCACTCTGATTGTGACAATTCAGGGAATGATCTGAATCATTTGATATTCTCATAGTACCTAGTAAAATAGAAAAATATCATCTGATTTTTTTAAATCTTCATACAAATAGTAAATTCAATCTCTCTAATCTCTTTTAGACAGGAAACATTCCCAACGAATGATAGCTTTGTAATTTTTATTAGTGAAACATAAAGCTAGATTAATAGTTCATGTTTTATATAAAGATTGTTGAGAAGACCCTGCAAAAATGTGTTTTCCATTATGCTGTATAACAAAGAATGGCTTTCTTTGAAAGGAAGGCAGGGGGCCGGCCCCCCGGGAAAGTGGTTAAGTTATCGGGCTCCACTTGGGCAGCCCGGGGTTCACCAGTTAAGATCCTGGGCTTGGATCTATGCACCACTCATCAGGCCATGCTGTGGCAGCATCCCACATAGAGGAACTAGAATGACCTACGACTAGGATGTACAACTATGTACTGGGGCTTTAGGGAGAAAGAAAAAAGGGCGGGGGGGTGGGAGGAAGAAGATTGTTAACAGATGTTACCTCAGGGCCAACCTCCCTCAAAAATATAAAAAATAAAAGCCGGAGTGGTGGGGGGGGAGCCAGCCAGGTGGCATAGTGGTTAAGTTCACATGCTGTGCTTCGGCAGCCCGGGGTTCACTGGTTCAGTTCCCAGGTATGGACCTACGCACCGCTTATCAAGCCATGCTGTGGCAGGTGTCTCACATATAAAGTAGAGGAAGATGGGCACAGATGTTAGCTCAGGGTCAATCTTCCTCAGCAAAAAAGAGGAGGATTGGTGGCAGATGTTAGCTCAGGGCTAATCTTCCTCAAAAAATAATAAAAGAAAAAGAAGGCAAAAGCTAGACCAAAGACTTGGAAAACCTATAAACAGCTATTATGAAGTACTTATTCCTACACTAACTAGTAAAATTAAAATATAGTAAGAAAAAAATAGCTCAAGTTTATATAATTTGTTGCTAAACTTAATAATAACCATTAAGATTGAATTAATTGGCCTATTTTACTTTCAGAAACTGATGACAAACATTCTTTCTGACTGTAAAGTTGGGCCGTGTGGAGGAACATCACTTCAGTTTTTGATCCCTCTCGTAATGCAGTCTGATCCTCATTGGTCAAATTTTCAAATCCTTTAAGAAAAGATCACATAATTGTTTGAAATAGATAATGAAAAGACAATTTTCAGGTATAGGTTTAACATTTTATATTAGTTATTTAGTTATGATATGAATCCTAAATGTTCCCTTAGAATAATCGATATGTAACTTCAAATCTGAATAGAATTCTTGATTCCACATGGTAATATTTTGGGGCACTTTCATCATAACTGGATAATGATACTTTCCTATGGGAAGAGAAAATTAAACATAGTAGTTGGTTTAGACTTTATTTTTACAGTGAGTTATCCATACATGTAAATAGATAGCTAAGTTTTGGCCAACAGTGGCTTGATTTTTTCATACTGTACAAGGACTTTTGTTTTATGTTTTATCTAAAAGACAAAAACAATTTATTTCAAAAAGTAAAAATAAAATAAAACATACAACCAATCATATTGTTTGTGTTAACTCTACATCGGTGAAGTCACTTGAATAATATTTTTAAATATTTATATTTCCACCTACCTGATTGGTTAAAGCGGAGAAAATAAGCATGTATTTGTATTTTGAAGTAGTTTTAGTGGAAAAATAGAGATTTTTGTTTTCCTAAAATGTTCCCTGTCTTTAAAACAAAGAACTTCTTAAAAATTAAGTATTAAATTAATTTTTTTCAAAGGTAAAGTGATTACCTGGGAGTCCCTTGGTAAAATCCACTAAGCTCTGCATGTGTAGGACTACTGTATCTGAGAGTCGCAAAAAGCTCAGCTCAGGATTTTTATATTCCTGCAGCTAACCAACAAGAAGAAATAAGATTAATGAAGTCTATTCTCTTTCAAATAACTGTTTAGATTTTAAACTTTTATATTTATGCTCTTATTTTTTAACATAGTGAATTATAAATTATTACTTGCCAACAATGAACACATACAAATTTTCTTGTTTCTTCCAAAGGAATTGTATATTTTTGATGAGCAGCCACAATGTTATTAATGAGCTGATGTTCTTCTTGAGTTAGTTCCACGCTATCCTGAATCTATAAGAAAATATAGGTAGAAAACTATAAGGCACTTATTAAAAAAGACATCATCAGTAAAGAAACAAGAAATTTTCTAAGAGTCTTACCACTTTTCCAGATCTAGTGGTGGATGATACAAGCTTGTTATCTACTCCTTCTTCTTCCACTTTGATGTTAGAGTAAAAGCTGTTCTTCTGCTTAAAGTTCTTTCGAAGTTTCTTTGATTTGCATTGGATCTCTGTGAGCAAACCTGTGATATTACAAAATTCATATAAAATGTTTTGGGTATGGCAAGTAACATTATAGGATTTGATGAAAATTGTCTTATACACCTATATGATCACAGACTTGTCTTTTTACAAAGAACCTTTCATTTTTTGGCAAGTATGTACACAGCAATTAAATTTGCTACATTGCTTTCTCCTTTTCCTTCCACAACTACCTGTCTATTTGAAAGTACATAGTGATCCTAGACATAAATTAAAATTAATTTTACATCTCCAAATTATAAATTTAGACCTTTTTATATTAGAGAAATTTCCACATTAATTATATATTGGAAGCAACATAGAATGTCCATTGGTGTAGCAGTTGAACTACCTTATCTATGGGCTTTTATCCTTGATCAGTCAAGGGAATATCTTGTGGTTTTTCAAATGAGCTAAATTGATTTTTTTTTTTCTTGCCAAGGAAGATTTGCCCTGAGCTAACATCTGCACCAGTCTTCCTCTATTTTATATGTGGGTGGCCGCCACAGCATGACAACTGGCAAGTGGTGTAGGTCTGTGCTGGAGAATGGAACCTGGGCCACTGAAGTGGAATGTGCTGAATTTAACCACTAGGCCATGAGGCCAGCCCCAATTTTTTCCTTATAAGATGAAACAATGGTATTTTGTTATGACAGCCCAGTCAAGAAGACTAAGACAGGGATAAAGTAAAGAATTCAGTCTAGTTGGACAGGATAACCATAGGATCTATTACAACTCAGGAATTTTAAATAATAGGAATCCTTTTGATGAAGAACTTTCATGGAAAATATTGGATTTTATTATAGTAAGCAGTATAATATAAACAGAATATTGCATTGGTGTTTATTGAACAGGAGTGCAATTTAATTAAACTTGAAGATTATTATAACAGTTGAAAGTAGTTTAAACTAAAAAGAGAATGGAGAAATGACTATGAAACTAACATAACAGTATAAGTGCAAGATAATATGAGTTTGCACAAGACTAGATTAGACAAGAAAAGAAAACATTAATAGTACTCTATAAAGAAAAATAAGTTTTAAAGTCACCATGAGATTTTGAGCCCTGGAGAATAGGAGGAATTGAGGAAATAATGCCAAAATCTTAGTACTACTGTAAGGATTAAATGATATCACATAATTTATAAGCTAAAAACAGTGAGCATAAAAGGAACTCAAAAACAACCTTAGGTAATCTTCTGCCTATTGAGTTGGGTTTTGACACCTATGTGTTAATTGTTAACAGGCTCTACATATCCAGGTATCATATAGGCTTCTAAAGACACGAGACTAAAGAAGGTGAACTACTAGTAATTTCAAATTCTGTTCTTTCTCGATGCATTATATAACTTGAGGGTAAGTAATATGAAAATACAAAGATTTCCAATTAAGAATAAAATATGATTATTACCAAAATTAGAGCAATATAGTATAGAACAAGGCTTACAGAAATAATTGCCTAGATTGGTAACTGGCTATCCTAATTTAGCAGTTGCTAAAGAAATAGCTTAAATCCAGATAAATATGTTAATCTTCAAAATGACAACTTGAAGAATGTATTAAGGTCTCAATAAGGTAAGAAAAACTAACATCACCTTAAAACAAAGCAAAACAAAACAAATGGCACTTACATTCTGCCAACATTCCTACTGCCTTACACTTTTTCAGTCTGCACTCTTGACATTTTCTACGCATGTACATGTCCATTTCACAGTGACCACCATTCTTGCAACTATATACTGCATTTTTGGTGATGCTACGTCGGAAAAAACCTAACAACAACAAAAAATTTTTTAATTTTACTAATAGGTATTTTTAGTTACTTGTTTTTATTAATATATACCTTCATAGTAGAGTTAAGTAATCAATTTAACTAAATTATTTCAATAAAATGTTTTTTCCCTCAATAAGAAGGTTTGGTTTAATATACATTTATCTGAATAATTGTTTTAATCCTCTCCTGTTTGATGTATTCTATTCCAAGGTTGTTCCTTTCAATAATCACACTTGGAAATTAAACTAAATAGCTCCATCACATTAAGACAACCCTCTGTTTTACTATGGTTATAATATATCATCTAGAAGTTTTCTTTTAACTATGTTTTACGGAATATAAAGGTTCCATGAAGCATCTCTTAAGGGTCCCTTGAAAGACTACGTGCTTACTTAAAATAAAAACTACAAGGAAAACCTCTCTTCTCTCCTCACATTTCTACCTCAACCGATAAAGGAAGAGAAATTCTTCCAAATTTTTTCTTCTGTCCTTTTCCTTTTTGTAGCACTTCCCCAGATGAGAAACTATTGCATGTTTATTTAATCTGAGACGTTGAATGGTTCATGTTTTGTGTATGTGTGTGTGTGTGTGTGTGTGTTGGTGGGCAGGGTGGAGGTTCTACATTTTTTCTTTCACTTCTTAAATCCATGCATAGCAGTCCCTCCTCCCATTTCCTCTCTCATTTCCCACTCATATGCAATAATCCCTGCTATCTTCCTCTTAGTCCTTTCCAAGCAGTGAAGTTGATAAGGTTAGTCAATACCCCTCTTAGAGGACTGCCATACCCTCTTTTTCTGTAGACACACTTGAGAGTGGGAGTTTCATGACTTAGATTCAACAAAGGGAATAGAAAGCTCAGCTTAGGTTTCGACAACTATGCCTCATCCTTGAATCTAGTTGTAACAGCAGGGCCCTGTATTTTAAGAGTAAGCAAATACTGATGCAGGTATTCTATTCATAAACCTGGTACCTCAGTTCCCTTGGTGATCATTTGGCTATTCTTTGGGAAGGATGAGTTGTGAGATTCTGACAGTAAAACTTTAAATTTCTAACAGACATGTTTACCCACTGCTGTATTGGCCTCATCATTTCTAGGTTCTGTCCCAACATTGCATTTGTGAATAAAAACAATGCAGAAGTGTTTCAGAATCTCAAAACTTCATCAAGGACTATTTCACTCTTTGAAAATGCTATTGTCATTGATGATATTCACTTGCAGACCTCCCATTTGTTTTCAAAAAAGCATTTCAAAAAAAAAATAGAGAGAATCTTAGAAGTCGTTTAATTTAAATTCCCTCCTAATTCACGAATTACATCAACCACATGAAAAAGATGTAAGAGTTAGCATTCAGATTTTTTTTTAAAGATTTTATTTTTCCTTTTTCTCCCAAAGCCCCCAGGTACATAGTTGTGTATTTTCAGTTGTGGGTCCTTCTAGTTGTGGCATGTGGGATGCCACCTCAGCATGGCTTGATGAGCGGTGCCATGTCCACGCCCAGGATTCAAACTGTGAAACCCTGGGCTGCTGAAGCAGAGCGCTGGAACTTAACCATTTGGCCACAGGGCTGGCCCCTCAGATCTTTTTAAAATTATTTTCTATTCCAACATCAGATTCATCTAGAAGCATGGAATCCTTCTGCCATATAAATATACTTAATTTTATATTTAAAAGTAAAAGTCTTCATCAAAAATGAAAAGAAAACTGAATCAAAACTTTATTACATTCTACTTTCACATCTTCAATCCCACAGATTGATCACCTTTAAACATATCAATGATTCTCCCTGGTCTTGTTTTTCACACTTTAAAAGAAAAGAGTATTGGGGCTGGCCCCGTGGCCGAGTGGTTAAGTTCACGCGCTCCACTGCAGGTGGCCCAGTGTTTCGTTGGTTCGAATCCTGGGCGCGGACACGGCACTGCTCGTCAAACCACGCTGAGGCAGCGTCCCACATGCCACAACTAGAAGGACCCACAACAAAGAATATACACCTATGTACTGGGGGGCTTTGGGGAGAAAAAGGAAAACAATAAAATCTTTAAAAAAGGAAAGAGTATTTTTACTTGCCTAAAATTTCATGACTCTTCAGTGAACACTAGCATTAGAGTTTTGTTTTAACTTTATCCTTACCTTTGCAACCTTCACAAGTAAGTGCATTATAATGATATCCTGACGCTTTATCACCACAAACTACACAGAGTTCTTCTTGTCTCTTAATTTGCAGGGAAGAATGAGTTAGTCTGGATCTTTTTATTTCAGAGTATCCATCTTCAATATTGTGGGCAACCACATAAGTGGATCTATTCAATTCACAGGAACCAGGTCCACACTCTCCACCACTGAACTGTAGATCCCAGCTATAAGTGTTGAAATGACTTTGCAAAGATTGGAACTGTAGAGCTGGAGGAACCTGGACGGTAGAATACTGGCAATAAGGTGATTCTTGAAAATCAATGTCGTGCAGCTGATAATTGGTTTGTTCCGGCAAAATATCTAGATTTTTTCACATAAAAAAATGTAAAAAGTCAACATTTTATAATTGTTTTCAAATTTCAAAGAGGTTTATGTTCAACAAACATAGTTCAACATGTTTGTTCCATCCCAGAGACTTGCTGTCCACCATGAGGGGCAGAGCGAAAACTGAATTGCAATGCACGATAAGTACTGCCATCCCAGAGGTATGCAGAGGTTGCTCATGAGCTGGGAGAAAGGGTAACAGTTGCTAATGGCTTAAATACCAATCCAGTCTATCTCCTTATGTAGAAATATTTCCCAGAGTTTGGAATAAAAGGTTTTCCCCATCTTCTGCATTTCCCTTGTTGTGGATACAACTGTTTTTGGTGCATTCAGTTCAGTAAAGAGATGAATTGATAAATTATCCCACCCCTCCAAAAAAAATCAAACTAAAGTATAATTTTACCAGTTATCTGGTTATTGCAAGCAATACAATATATATTTTTGTTTCAACTGCCCATTTGAAAGACCTTAACACCCTCCTTTGCCATTTCTAGACTTGATTTAAATGACTAGTTTCTTTTTTGTTTTGTTGTCTAGCAATTCTAACTAGCAATTATCTGGAGATAAATTCACCTACCTCGCAGGGTTACTGTAAGGATGAAATAAAATATGGTATGCAAAAGCATGTATAAAATATAAAATGATACTTAATGCATATCTTTATTATTATTATTATCAGAAACTCCCAAACACCAACTTACTTTCTGCTTTCAGGAGAATTACTGAATCTAAATCCAGAAAATTGTCTCCATTTGATTCTGGCTTACAACATCTTAGTATTACTGATTTTTTAAATTAATTTTATTCTCTTGTAGGGAATAACAAAGTTTTTGGTTCATTTGCTAATTTCTTTTCTAAAAACCCACAAAAAATGTTTTATTAACTACAATACTATAGTTTTTGATACATACCATAGTACTGCATGGGTTCAGCAAGAGCATACCCATCAGGTGCAGTGAGGTGAGTATGTGCCATTCTCTGGTCCAATTCTCACTTCTTCATCAGTGCCTGCTGAAATAGAACTTGAAGGAAACAAAAATTTTGTAGATTATTTGAAAGTATGATTATCAAATCAGTATTATTTTATGAAAGTACAATATTGTTTTTGAAAAATAATTTATCAGAATTTGTACATGACACATTTTTATGTACACTTTAACTGGAAAAATACTGATTTTTTTTGTATGTCTACACACCAAATTCTTGAATTCTGCCAATTTCTCATTGCTCAGCTCTTTACAAATAACTTAGTAAACCTTGATAATAATCATTGTGACTCTTGAAAGTGTAACAAGCTTTGGAGTTAGGCTTCATACACTTCTTTCACCACTTATTTATGGGTCATTTGTTAAACCTCCTTGAACCTTAGTTTCCTCGTTTGTAGAAGAGAGATAATAAAACCCTCCTAAGCAAAGTTGTTGGGAGACTTTAATTAATGTATGTAAAAGCCAGCGCAGTTCTCAACTTAATAACTGATTCTTGTAATCGTTGTTCTAATAGTTTCAAGATCTTACTGTTTTAAATTTAGATGAATTAGACTTTTTCATAAAAGTAGTTAAAGAGTAGGAAAAGAATGGCTTTCATGGCACCTTTTTTTATCTTCTGAGTCCTTTGCAAATATTTATTTTTCTAGGACTGTGACATGCTAAACATTAAAATGTTAATTTGGTTCTGCTTAGCTAATGAAAATAGTTTACTGATTATTGAAAAGGATGTTTTTTAATAGTAAAGCCTAAAAATTATAAGCTATTACAAGGAAAAATTATTCAAAACCTAAGACTACCCCTTATGGGAAAAATTATTTTTGTTATTTCCTAGGAAGGAACTCCAAAAATAATGCATCTTTGAATAGACTTAAACAGGAAATCACAGTTTAAGAAATTGGAAGTTATTAGAACAAAATAAAGGTCACTCTAGAGTCCCTCATATTTTATAGTTTTATCATCTCTGTTAGAAGAAAAGACTGTTTTCCTTTTTAAAAGGAACCAAAAATGGAGAAGAGGGATTTTAAATCATGCCAAAAGATATACATGACAAATTTCTGAGACAGCTTTGGATATTACATTGAAAAATCTTTTACTTTGATTTATTACTCATGTGATGGGTTCATAGCTAAGGTTTCTATATCATGAAGATGATTCAGATAGTAATATCTGTGAAATTTATCTCTTTTATCAGCTAATGGGCTCTAGGTTCCTTTAAGGCACTTGAATCTCCCATTCTTCTGACAGTATAGCAGCACTCGTATAGAATGACTGTTGGTTGGAACAGATGAAGCAAAAATGGGGCCCCCACGGCTGACCCTGGGGCCAAATGGTTAAGTTCACATGCCCCACTTTGGACTCCCAGGGTTTCACCGGTTCAGATCCGGGGCACAGACCAAGCACCACTCATCAAGCCATGCTGAGGCGGTGTCCCACCTAGCTCAACTGGAAGGACCTACAACTAAAATATACAACTATGTACTGAGGGTTTTGGGGAGAGAAAAGGGGGGGGGGGGAAGATGAAGACTGGCAACAGAGGTTAGCTCAGGGCCAATCTTAAAAAAAAAAAGTGGTGCCCCCAAATAAGTGCAATTCAATATGAAGTTTTCCTTGAAAAGTAAAGACGAAAATTAATAGGATCAGTCAGTATATACTTCTGTTTTTACTATATTACAAGTCAATTGGCTCTCCATATAAAAAGAATTCTGAATGCTATTAGTTTAATTTGTGATACTTTTTAGCAATAGCAGTTCTGTTTAGTTCTTTCCAAACTTGTCTTTTGAGTCTCAACTATATTTTAGAAGATTACAAATGAATGTGAAAACTTGAAGTTGTTATTCACCCTTCTTTTTTTCCTTTTCTTTTCTTTTCTTTGTTTTTTGGTGAGGAAGATTGGCCCTGAGCTAACATCTGTGCCAATCTTCCTCTATTTTGTATGTGGGACACTGCCACAGCATGGCTTGACAAGCAGCATATAGGTCCATGCCTGGGATCCAAACCTGCAAATCCAGGCCACAGAAGTGGAGAACATGAACTTAACGACTACATCACTGGGCCGGCCCCTTACTCTTCTTTTAAAATTGCTGCATTTACCGTTAGGCTTCATACAGTATTAAGTATCGGACAAAGACTGAAAATTAATAAGTATTTGGTATTAGTTAGAGACTTTGCTGAATGAGAGTTCATTTGAGAAATAATCTAGAACAAACCAGAGGTAGCGCATTAAAACAAAACTAGTACTATCCTGACAAATACACACATAAGTATCTTATAATAATGCCACAATCAAGGTTCATATCATAAATAACAATGTTCTAAAACCAAGTCCTTCCAATAGTGATATATAAGTGCCCCAAAATATTGTCTAAAGCAGACTTGTTTTTATCAATTTATGAGCTAGTTATATTCCAGGGCATATATGAAACATATACATAAATAAGCCTCTGATTAAAACTATGCCTTTTAAAATATGAAATATTTCTCTTTTATATGTTTACAGTAATGTTTGCATTATTTTCTACATAAATTTTTTCACTAATTAAATTTTCTTCAGTTTTTTACATGTTTAATAAAAGTATTCAATATGTATGCATAGTAAAACAAAACTTTCAGAAATAGTGTTCATAAAATAAGTTTTAAAACACTTAAGTAAATTATCAATGTCATAGAGAGAGGTATGTAATCAAAAACTTCCCATCCTGTTAAAGTAAAGAAAAAATGTATAATGGGCCTGGAATCATTCTGTTTTGTTATCTTTCCTAGTAAATATTTATTTAAAACAAAAATAACTTAGCTAAGAGAGGAGCTTTTATCAAGAGGATCAATTTGGCATGGGCAAAGTCTATATTTTTTAACAAATATAACTTTATAAAAAACTGTACTTTCCACAGATTATAATTGCTTTTCTATGGAAAAGATGCTTAATTGCATAAATGAATTTGTATCTCCTCTACCTTAACCACAAATTGTTCTTAGTAAATCTTTATATAGCTAGAATTTTAAGAGGGAAAACATTGATTCCTGAGATCTACATTCCTGTGTTAAAGAATTTTACAGTTCTTACATTTCTTCTCTTGCAGTATATGACAATTGAATCATGAATAATACATTGCCTAAAACTGATATAACTGAGAAGTAGACTGATTCACAAGAAAACCATTTTAGTTTTCATGGTAGCCTCTACTAAAAAAAAAGAATGATAGTGCTATATGACATATAATTATTAAAAGGTTTTCCCTGGTAGGTCTTGTTTCAGTCAAAATTCTCTGAGTTTATTGGAACCAAGAAAGTGAAAAGAATATATTTGAATAACAGCACAAATTAAGGCTTCTTGATTCCTTTATAAGAATCTCTCCTTTAACTCAGGAATAAAAGGAGGATTTTACACTGTGAAATTTTATTATACAGCTTTATTGAGATATAATTTATGTAACATAAAATTCATTCTTTTAAAGTGTACAATTCAGTTGTTTTTAGAATATTCAGTGTGTAGCTATCACCACCATCTAATTCTACAGCATTTTCATCACCCCAAAATGATATCCCATGCTCATAAGCAGTCACTCCCCATTATCCCCTTCCCCCAATTCCTGGCAACCACTAATTAACTCCCTGCTCCTATGGATTTGCCTGTACTAGACATTTCATATAAATGGAACCATACAATTCCATATATAATTTTAAATGAAAAAACTAACTAATATAATGTCAAGGACTTTTCACAGCTTAAGACAGAAAGAGAAAATAAATATTTAGAAAATTCATGACTATAAAATTAATATTTTATATACTTCAGAGATGCAGAAATATATTGTGTGTCTATTTTCATGATCCGAAATAATTTTCATGATTATATCATCACAGCATTTTCAACAGAGCTGTAATTCCCTGAATACACCTTTACAGGAATATACTCAAGTTGCTTTGAATTTACATATGTTATTTTTTCAAAAAATAAAATACATTTTATCAATAAGTTCTTGATTTGAAAAGAAGTTTCATTTTCAAAATATAACAGTAAACATCATTGTGAAGCTACTTACATTATTACATTAAATGTCAACTAAAGTCCAACTACAGTTCAAAATTGCCTTGTCATTCCTGAGGAGAGAACTAAATTACTGTATAGTCCACTTTACTTAATTAAATTTCTTAATTTCAAGGGGAAAATGCTTTTTAGAGTTTGACTATCATATTAATAACAATTGACTTATTCACTTTTCAAAGATTAAATTAATAATCGCGGAAAGATGTCAAAAAATATGCTTTTTATTAACACCTTACAGTTTAATAGTAGTTTAAAGTAAATTGTCAACAAAGTTAGCATTCATTTTTAATTTAGACAGCATAAAATTATAAACTTTTCTTATTTTAGAGAAGACAAATACTCACAGTTAAAGGATATTACTAGAGATTGTCCTTTTCTTCACAGAATGAGTATAGATAGATTGAGCAATGACTTCAACTTTCCAGCTGGAGCAAACTGGGTCTTTTCCCTATTTATCAAGGGGTGGAGAGGGGGTTACCCTGCGTTCACTTCGGCTCCAGACACTGCAGAGCAATGCTTCAGCTGTATCTCAGAGACAAACTTCCCACACAGTCCTCTCTTGGGTCAAAACAAGGGCAGTTACAAACTGACATAAATCAAATAATAACCAGATCATCAGGGATAGAGGCCGTTGGGACCTTCAGGTCACACTCTCCCAGAGTTCCTTACTGTTTACTTAATAAATATTTTGTTTTCTTGATTGAATTTGACATTATCCCATTTTGGTTACAACACATTGAGTCTCTACAAATGACTGAGTATTACATACAGGAAGGAAAAAACCCTCCCTCCACTAATATGGGGGCCGTAACAATTCAACTTGAAGTTTATCTTTGCACTACCTACAAAAAAAAGAATTTGTTAAAGCAATTAGTGTGAATAATAGTGCGTAGGTTGGTACGGTGTTAGGTGTGTACAAGTCATCTAGTCCAACTCTTTCATTT